GGCCTACTCATTGCAATGTTCGCGCTTGTCAGAAAAGATACCCAAAGAGCGGGTTCTACTTGAATTCACAATCATCAAGCCATGAAAGAGGGTAGAAATGAAAAAAATCTACGAGTAAGCATCGGTCTTTTGAACAAGTTTCAAGTGGATGCGCAGCTGCTGCGCGCTCTTCAAAAAAGGTTGATATAGCATAGCTGAGATAGTCCAGTCCCACACAAGAGAGCGGCTCATATCAACTACACCAAATTCGGTTAAAGAAAACCTATTCATCGCGGATAAGAATGAATCTCTGGGTATGACACCCAAGACCTCGCTGCTCAAAACGCTAGCTGCTATGGACCGCACTCATGCGGAACTGGACGCAACGGTGACTAGAATTCAAATCGAGTGATAATTTGGAGGTTGCGGACAAATAAGCCTACGGGAATGGTACTGACTCAGTAAAATAGTGTGCGACAGAGAGCTTTGACTGGGAAACAGAGAGCAGTTGCGACATATCGACAAATGTCGTTCAATGAAAACGGTGGGCGCGAACCATTCGTGTATAGAACATACGTGCAGCCGTCTCCATATTCTGACTTAAGGCGATAGTAATTTCTGTAAATTCACGATCAAGAGAAAATCAAACAGAAGCTTAAAAAACAACTTACAATAAAGTGGTATGATGTACAAAACCATTTGACTTATAAAATTGGATGGCAGCAGTGTTTGTCGAAAGTACGTGCAAAAAGACAGCTTTTGGGAAGGGTGGATTATCGACAACCTGCAGAGTTGAACTTCATATGGCAGCGAGGATAATGCGCGGTATATACCGAATCGAGTAGATGTCGAAGAAGACGTGACGCTAAACCCAGCCTTCGATAAGCATGGGCAACAGCTAAGCTGAGCATGTAAACAACATGCGCTCCACTATCAGAAATTATGTCGCGATCCTAAACTTCGATCATCAGTAACACACACTCTTAAACGCTCGAAATTTCAATTCAGAGGATTCAACCATTATCAAGTAAAAAAGTTAGCTCAGAAAATGCGTGCAATTGCATAACAGATCTACATTTGAAGTGGAAAGACGCTGGTGATATGCGCAATTTTCGTCAATCTCCAGAAAAAGCAGAGAACTACAGTGTACTCCAAAAAGAATTAGTGTTCCCGCAGTTCCAGCCGCTTGGACAAACAGTCACCTAGATCTCTAAGGAGTTCTCCAAAAAACCCCGTCAAGGCGATAAGACAACCATCAGTTAGGAAACTGATCAGGATTTCCAACCTCCCACCTACACAGTCGAAATCGTTTTCTCTATTCAGCCCTCCAAATCAATGTCATAAGCACTGCTCACAGAAAGTAGGGGAACATGTCGCCGAAAGTGAGAGGTCCCGCCGCGCATCTGCCACAAATACACATTCCAATACATGCACAGGCTGAGTATCTG